TGGTAACTATAAGTCGTCTAACTTCTGGACTAGAAATTGAATTTATCAAAATTACAACATGACGTTACGCGTTAGAAAAAAAACAGGTGCTTACTTTGTGAGTAGTTGATTGTCAGTCAAAGATTCGGCGTTACAACGTCCTCACCGATGACTTGTTGCTAATGTTCGTGTAGTTCACAAACTTGGCAAACATCACAACAAATACAGTAATGTAATATTATACTATACAGGCATTATATGCGATTTCCTGTTAATTGTTTAGGTTTGAAACAGAACATCAGCAAATTATGTTTATGTCTTGGCGAAATAATCACCTATGATAATTTATTTATTTTGTTTATTAATTTAAATAAATAATAAAAGATGAAAACAATTTAATCTTAAAAGCGTCAATAATATAAATAAACAAATTAGCAGTGCTAAAGTAATATGTTTAACATGGTCTTCCATAATAATTGGAAAACATACAGTTGTATTTTAAAATGTTATTATCTATATGTCGCTTTTTTGTGTCCAACACTGCGTTCTGCCACGTATGGAGCACGCTGAATGGTGTGTCCGGGGGAGGTGTATTTGATGTATACATATACACCTCTTGAACACAATCACTTGCAGACCATTACGTTAGTGAATGAAACTCGGCCAGTGGAATTGGCCATCCCATTGAGTCTGTGGCACAACTCACCCAGGGTAGGTGTCGTGATGCGACAACCACTATGCCACCAGTGACAGACCATAGACTCTAATGTGTAGCATTTTTAGGGCCAGGACTACTTGTATATTACATTGTGTTACGTAGCCCGCCTCTAAAACACAATACATAGTGTCATACCCAGTCATATTAATGACGCTTGTTTGTAAACAATGACACGCTATGGCCATCTGACGCATGCGCAGGTGACGACTCCCTTGCTTTAACCCAACCGTTATTGGCATCTGTTTATTCATCATGTGTTCTAGACTGGCAAAGTCGGGACTCCTTTGTAGCTTTTTTAACATGATGGCGAAAACTAGCGTTACTACAAAAGAAATCCCTTTAGCGGTCAGGTTAGTTTTCGCGATCACGCTAAAAGGACTAAAAGAACAATTAATTATTTATTTTTGTAAAACGTAAAAGAAGTCCTGACTTTGCCAGTCTACATGTGTTCGAGTATTTGCAGTCGCATGTTAATTACTTGAGACCGGTATATATATGTCTATTACGTGTTCACTCGAATATGAATATTTTTAATCACCTACTAGAACACGCTGTGACTATTCTACTTTAAATAACGCCAACTAGGTGTTTTTAAAATATTAGTTTGTGAACACTTTGTCCATTATATTGCTAATATTAATCATTCAGATGGTCTACATAAGTTTTGTAAAATATTTGTAATTATTTGCCCGACAAAGACGCAAATGAAGCTGTATGTAAACAAGCTAATACACAATAATTGTAAACAATAATTGTGCTTCCTAAATTTTGGTTACTCAAAACCTCTGAAAACCATTGTGCACAACCTTTGAACTTATTTTTAAGCTTTAAAAATGTGATTAAAATTATAACATTTTGTTCTTGTTCTGAATATATTGTAATACATTGAGGTATGCGTGACGTAGCCGTTACTGTATCACGATTTTGAACACATTGTAATACATTATGCATGAAGTAATCGTTACTGCATTACTGTTCTGAACTCATTGTAATACATTGAGTTATGCGTGAAATAACCGTTACTGCATTACTGTTTTGAACACAATGTAATACATTGAGCTATGCGTGACGTAGCCGTTACTGTATCACTATTCTGAATATATTGTAATGAATTGAGTTATGAATGAAGTAACCGTTACTGCATTACTTTTCTGAACACATTGTAATACATTGAGTTGTGCATGAAGTAACCGTTACTGCATTACTATTCTGAACTCTATGTAATACATTGAGTTGTGCATGAATTAACCATCACTGTATTACTATTCTGAACTCACTGTAATACATGAGTCATGCGTGAAGTAACCGTTACTGCACTGAACTATTCTGTACCGTTACTATTCTGAACTCACTGTAATACATTGAGTCAGGCGTGAAGTAACTGTTACTGCATTGCTGTTCTAAACACATTGCAATACATTGAGCCATGCGTGAAGTAACCTTTACTGTATTACTATTCTGAATACAGTGTAATACATTGAGTCATGCGTGAAGTAACTGTTACTGCATTGCTGTTCTAAACACATTGCAATACATTGAGCCATGCGTGAAGTAACCTTTACTGTATTACTATTCTGAACACAGTGTAATACATTGAGTCATGCGTGAAGTAACCTTTACTGTATTACTATTCTGAACACAGTGTAATACATTGAGTCATGCGTGAAGTAACCTGAATTTGATAATGAGAACTCAAGAAAGAAAATGCAAAACAATACATTTCTTGCATTGGTTGTTGTTTACCTAAGTTTCTTCAATCTGGCTACCAAAAAGCGAAGCGGGGAAACAGACGGAGGAAGCTAGGGTCATGGTGGTTTCCGACACATTATTATTGGTTCTCACAGCCTGCTTAGAATATAACTGAACGCCTCTCAAAAATAACAATATGATTTAATTTCTCTCATATTCAATCATATATGAAATGTTATGTTATAAGCAGAAAGAGTTTTGACACGAAATATTGACACTGTTATATGCGCCGAATATGCGCTGAAAAAAAACACGTATAGCTAACTGAAATTCTGAACATAACGTTGGACCACTGGGTCAGATCGTGATATATTGGGAAGAAGACTTGTATTTATCAAATTTAACAAAATTCGGCCGAATTCGTCGTTTTTGTGTGGAAAAACCTTTGCATACGAACACCTAAATACACGAAGACCATAGAACACTTTCCCGCGGTATTTAATTTGAAACAAAAATTGTCATCTAACTGTATAACCGTCGCTGATTGAGGCTAGCTAGCATGCATGAATGACATTTCTTGGATATTCTAATTCTTAATTTTTGAAAAAAAACAACAAACGCTATTTCTTGCAAATAAAATAGCAATTGCTTGACTTGCTGATTCGTTGATTCTTGAATCTTGATTCGTTGATTCTTCATTTAGCCTTACCCCGGATTGGCTGCTGAGTTGGAATGACATTTTTTTACATAAACAAACGAACTACAAATCTGACACGGAAGTTTCAGCCGAATTCAAATTGCACGTTACTGCGCATGTGGCAATGCATTATGGGAGAGGCATTTCTATTGAACA